GGCAGGTGAAAAACTCTCGAAGACTCAATTTGGAGTTTTAGAAAGCAGGCATTCTTCATTGCGGCGCCGGGCGTGCAGGGGATCGCTCCACCTAGTGTGCGCGCCGGGCTGCTCAACTATGGGAGTTATGTACAATCAGAATATACATATTCATTAGATTTCTGAGAAATGATTAGCATATTAATGTTATTTCTTGGAACTCATTAACATGCAAAAGTCTGTAACGCATGCGCTCTTATGTTCATTGGTGGTCTTCCAGGGTCCTCTTGGTGGTCGTCGATAGTCTTCCTCACTGTGTCCGCTAATTGAACTCAGTCTTTTCACCTAGTTGCAGTAGCTGATTTCAGCATAACTTCCTTATCCATTCCACCCCTGTACACAGAGCTTCAAGGATCCCTTTTATCTATGGAATGTCCAGTCTGCAGAACATTTAGTTACTTCGCTTTGACAAGGAAAAACCGTATGTCTCCTTAGTATTTCGGTATCAGCCCCACTGGCACGATGTACATGATCACAGCAGACTATAGTGGGAGTCAACACTGGCAGCAAGTAAGGTGCCAGCTGAGTCACTCTAGGCTTGCTGGCAGCATTAGGAAGGCAGCTGCCTAACAGTGCAACCACCTGCCCACATCTAGCCTGTTTCAAAGACAAGATGGCCCATACCTACCCACTCCATTCCTCCCTTCCTTCAGTACACTGTGGGTCTTTGGATGTTATTCTTCCCCCTTTTTTGTCTTGGCCTCTAGAGAATTCAGTAGTTGAAGAATCTTGTGTTGAAGAGATTTATAAAATTTTAATTGTACAGTCTGATTATCACTCTAAATTTGGAAGAGTGTGCAAAATCCTATGTGCCACTAAGCTCTGCACAGTAGTCTTTGCAATTGATGCAAATTAAATACCTAATTCAGGGAGTTTCTTAAGCCATATGTGTGTTCCAGGGAGGCTCTCTGGTATGGCTCTGCAAATGGAGAGTTGGGTGGAGACATTGGAAAGGCTCAGAAGCATGTCCATTGAATCTACACTTACGTTCAGAGGTGATACAAGATGGTTGGTTTTGCTTTGCACCAGGGTTCCTGATCTACTCTCACACCAAGTTGTTCGATCGTGATTCATATTCTTCCTTACTAAAATGTATTATGTGGCTTTCCTGCCTTGAAGGTCCTCTTCCCTATAAATGAGGGAGACTTTAACCCTTGCTTGGTTGTTCTGTGGCTGGCTGTAGGGTCTTCCAGGATACACGTACCCCATGCCACTCAGGCACAGCATTGTGCTCTTTTGCCATAGTCCACAGATCTTAGCCAAGGCCCTTTTCTTCAAGCAGCCTGGCAGATCTTAAGCAAGATGCTACTGTGATATATTCTGGTGACATTTTTCAGACCATTTCTGTTGCGTTTGGAGGCAGCCCAACAGTCACTCAGCAGCAGGCTGCAAAATACATGTGGGAGTGATCTCTTTTTCTAGACTATATACACCTGTCAGAGCTAGTTATGTTACAGATAGGATCATTTCTGATTTCCACATTTGAAAAACTGTGCCTGTACGAGCTCTGATCTATACTTGGGGTCACACAACCCCAAAGAACTGGAAAAGTCCTCGATGGTCATTGGAATAAACCTTAGGTGAAGTCCAAATTATGTGCTTGGAGGAGATGACCAGGAGGGGCCAGAAGAATAATAGGCCCAGCCTCAGTTGAGGTTCCTTTCCTTGCAGCAGAAGCAAGCATGTAGGCTATGTTTGTAGGCTGAGCTTCATTCATAGCTATTTTTTTTTTTTTGGGTGGCTTCAGGGCCTATGCCAGATGCTGAGCGTCCCACCGTTCATCTGGGAATGGCGAGGATAGCACGCACGGGGCTCTTCCGCAGTGCCTGCTTTTCAGCAGCAGTTGAGTGTGCCTTTTACTCTAGGCTCCCAGGGTCTGTGTGGGACTGGTGGTGGCAGGTGCTATGCAAGGGGCCAAGAGCAAAGTTGCTGGGAAGATGCTGTATAGTCTGACGTCATGCGTAAGCACAAACCCAGCGGTTTGAAACAGTTGCTTCCTGGTGTAAAATTCAAGAAAGTCCTCTCACAAAGAACATGTGGGCTATGGAAATGTAATTACTGACCAGAATTTCGGCACTGTCCTCCTTTGTTTTCTGTAGGAGGATAAAGTATGGGACTGGTATCACCATTCAAGGAAGGTGCAGGGCTTAACAGAGGGGAAGGATCTTGATTGCTTTTAGGGTGTCTAGTTGGTAGGGAGATTGAGAATTAGGGAAGACATTTTAGAAATGAAAACACTCGTTATGTCTGCCTGGTTGTATCAAAGCTTTGTTGGAAAGTAAAGAGTTGACCATAGCAAAGTGGAAACACTATTCCGTATAACCATGTGCTTACAACTTTTTTTAATCATTTTATAGTCTGCTAAACTACGCAAGTTGCCACCCTTTCTCACCATTTCTCTCCTGAGATTTAACTTTGACTTTGAGAAGTGTGAACGATACAAGGAAACGAGCTGCTACACATTCCCTATCCAGATAAATCTGAAGCCTTTTTGTGAGCAGGTATGTACTGTTGTATTTGTTAAAATTTCCATATACTCTGCAGAGAACTGATATCTCAAGGCCAAGTTATATTTTATTTTGCATTTTGCCATGGCAAGGTATTCGAGAAATTTTATGGTGTTCTCTTCTGTCCCCAATTCCAAATTTTTGGAATTCCAATTTGTTTCCAAAAGACCACTTTCTAACTGAGTGGCAAATACCTTGTAGCTATACAAGGGGAAAGTGTATAATAATTACCTAAAACTTAATCTGACATTTGCTTGAAAGGAAGATTATCACCTGGAAGTTGAAATTAAATTTGGTTTTGTATTGTCATTGTCTGATAACATCACATATAAATTTAGCTATATATGTTTTATATGCTTGTAGTTATTTCATTTTTCTTAGGAATCTGTCTTTTCATTCGTATATATGTATTTTGATTATAAACTGAGTTATACCAGTGCTTGATGACAATTTTTGATCCTTAAAATGTATAAAGAATGTAGTTAATAGAGGCACTGTTCTTGAAAAAGATGTTTTTCTTATTGAAATGTTGCAATGCAAGTTTGGAGATTTTTTCCAGTTGGTTTGTGTATATAAATGTGTTGCTTGTTTTTTCTCTAGTCTTTTAAACAAAATAAGCCTGGTTATGAACAAAGAGGTTGAGCTGTTCTATTATTTGCATCAATATTTCATTATTTTAAATTTTTAATTTCCAATATTGTTCACAATCATGCTTAAAAAGTTGCTTAATAAGGCTGTGCCTTGGTCCATGGTTTGTGTCAGTCCATACTTGTGTTCCCCAGCACTGAAAAGCCATTTCAATCTCTGCACATGCGAATGCACACTGAGAAATACCTGAAGCTATGCTGATGGTGTAAAACTGTCCTCTTGTGAAAGACTTACTGATATATATTATTGTTATTGTTTTTCTTTTTAAAGACTGAAAGGGATGATTCAGAGTACATGTATGAGCTCTTCTCTGTTATTATACATAAAGGTGGCTGCTATGGAGGACACTATCATGTTTATATCAGAGATGTGGATGGATTAGGAAACTGGCAATTACAGGTGAGTTCTAAAGGTTTTTCTTCCTTGCTTGATATGTCTCATTTTTCAGAAAAGTATTATGAGCTAGTGGATGAAATGTACATCCCAACTAATGAATATTTTAGTGAGGCATTTGGTCTCTAACCTCATTGAGAAGGTTAGTTTTCCACAGTATGCGATCTCTATCAAGATTTTGTAGCAAATTTTAGCTTTCCGATCTGCTAACTATCTCACGTTACTGGGCTCACTTTTTCTTTCCCAAATGAATTAATATCTTTGCTCAAGACTAGCACAGTCATCTTAATGGAGGACGCTGGCTGGCTGTTTGTAAGTAACACAAATGCCTTTTCTGTTTTAAAAAAAAACAAGATAGTGGATATTCTGTGTGACAATATATAGTACATAGCGGGTGGCAGAGGCATCTTATCAGAACTTCCTTCACACTTCTAAATTGTGCATGCTGGTGTTAGTACAGACTATAATCAAAAACCACTAGTTGTGTGTGAAACAACAGTATTTGCAAGTGTTTTATTTTTCTTATACAGGAAGAAGAGGATAGGCTGATTGAAGATAAGGCTTTAAGAGATACTGAAAATGCCAAAGAAGTAGAAAATCCATTGGCAGTGTTGAAAGGGATTTTATCAGAGGTATGGTATGTAAGGAGTTTATTGCTTTGATTTTGATATTAAGGAACTGAGAAGAAGGGGTTAGTGTATGCAAGACTGGGCAGGTTTAAGTGTACAGAACTCTTCTGAACTTATTGTGAAACATGTAAAACTTGTAACTTAACCTGACTTTAGTACTAATAGTGGCTCTTCATACAGAAAACGGTCCTTTTTGAGTATTTCTTAAATTGCTTGCCGAAGCTGTTGCCAAAAGGTGATGTTACATTGGCTTATTAACAAACAGGAATAGTTTAAGCACTTCATAGTTGGCTTCTTTGTGTTGATCCCTTGACTTTTGTAGCCTTTGTTATCCTAGTTTTTAATTTCTGTGTAGGAAGAATCTAAACAAATTCCCGTGGATCAATTAGGGCAGAAATTATTGGAGAAAAAAGGGGTGTCCTGGAATAAGAAATACCGAAAACAGTATGGAGCATTACGAAAGGTAATATGCATGTATGGTAATTTGGTTTTTACTGTTAAGATAATTTTACATTTATATTCCTATTGAATAGTCAGTAGGATGGTAATTGAAAATACTGGCACTTGGACTAGCAAGATAGAGCGTGTGTAAGAGAGGTTTGTAAGCTAAATTAGTATACTGGGGAACATGGACAAGATTCTCAAGGGATTGTCTGCCTGAAAGCTTGTATCTTTTTTTTTTTTTTTCCATCTATACGGTTGGCCTATAAAAGAATTAACCTTACCTACTGAACCTTGTTTCACTTGTGTCTGTGGATGAAGCTGCAACAACACTACTACCACTTGAACATAAAAGCACTGATGAGAATTAAAGAAGAAATACAGTACTTCACAGTCATAACAGAAGTGAGGTTTTGAAAATGTATGCCACTTTTTGGTTGATTAGGGCATGTCCACAACATTAACGCTTACAGTAAATTCTTCTATTTGTCCAATTGGTTACTGTATTTTCTAATACTTTAAGGAAAATACTTTAGCATTTGTGTTACAGATTTGTGGAAAATTCATGTTTAACTGTTTTTTGAATAGAACTAACAATGCAGTTTTCCAATAATTATTTAAAAGTAGTTGTGAAATCTGAACATGAGTCTTCCACAGAGGTAGATGCTTTTCTGACTTTGACAGGGAAGTGATAGAAACAAGTTATGAGCAGTCCAGTATTAACCATTTCAAAGTTTGAGTGCTGTTGTGAATATTACCAAAGCTGACTTTTCACAAGTGCTGGATCTATACCAAAAGCACGTTGATCAATGCAGGACTTGCCTTATTGAAATAACTGTAAATTGTTTTACGCTTTTTGAAGTATCAAATGAGGTTTTGATTATGATTAAAACTGAAATTCAGACTTTGGGGGTTTGTTTTTGGTTTGGTTTTTCTTTTGTTTTTTGAGGGGGTTGGGTGGTTTTTGTAGTTTTGTGGGAGGATTGGAGGGTGGTTGGTGCCCTCCCCCCCCATCCCGCAAGAGCCACGATTTTGTTTTGTGTAATTTGGACACCAAGCTTGTTTGAAGTATCTGCATACTGCTAAAATGAAAGTAGAGAACAGAGCAGATAAGCTGGGTGAAACAGAACGAGTAGGTTTTAAGTTCTTGAGATGCCACAATGGGCAGCGTTAATTTGGGTAAGGTACAACTCAGCAGACCAGAACTGAACTCAAGATCCCTGTCTGGTAAAGACAGAAGGGAGCACAGACTAGGGAGCAGAAAGTACCGGTGTTAAAGGGCTAAACTGATTGGGATGGTACTCTGTGTGTCTGATAAAGCAGAGGCTTTTTGATTGCCTATAGAGCATCACTTCCTATGCTGCCTTTCCAGGGACAGGGAGTATGCACTTGTGAGAAGTGTTTTAAAAGGAATCCAGTGTCTCAAGCAATCCTTGAAATTCAGAAATTAGTCTGATTTAGTTCTTAGTGATGCATGTATATTAAAAACAATTTTTTTTCAATTTCTTGCATGATAATTTGGAGTTACATAAGAGATGAAGCCAGCAACAGCATATAAAAGATCAGGCAAATAAGTGGTGGTAGGAAAATTATATTCTTCTGTCTAAACTGAGGAAATACATGAGGAAGCATCAAAAACCCAAGTTTGAAGGGATGGTGTTTGTGTATCAATTTGAGCATGAATCTGGTGAAGTAGCTAATGCAGTCTGCTATATTTAAAACTGTGTATCTTCTTCATCTCGTCCTTGCTTTCCTTTTAGTATTTGCAGAATCATCCTCAGATATTTCAGTTCAGTCCTGATGAAAATAAGGTTGGTCTGAAGGAAAAACACAAGCTCCCATTTAAGGCAGATTCTCAAGGACAAGATCTCCAAAGCCCTCCTCAGAAGAATGATGTCCAGTGGAATTCAGAAAAAAACCCTATGAGGCTAAGGGACAGTTCATCTGGTTGCCATTGGTTTGACCTGAATGATTCAAAAGTCCAGCCGATCAAGGAGAAGGATATTGAGAAACAATTTCAGGGTAAAGAGAGTGCCTACATGCTGTTTTATCGAAAATCTCAGTTAAAAAGACCGCCTGAAGGTACACAGAGCTCATCTTGATATTCTGGGGGCTTCCTTCATTGGCAGTTTGTTTTTTGGAGGGCAAAGGCTGTTGGGCATTTCTGTCCTTTCCAAGAATTGAAGATACAGTTTTCTTTCTAGTGATCATTTGAAAAAAGGGTTAAGTAAGATACATGGAGGTTACCTCCAAGGAGGTAGTGACCAGTTAAGTGGCTATAGTTGACACTAACTTTTTTCTAGTATGCTTCACAAATACTAGCAGAACATCTCCTACTGAAACAAATAAAAGTTGTAGCTAACAGCATTCATGTATCATTTTCCCTTAG